TTCTTTTCAACTGAAGAAAGAAAGACATGGACATCTTGGATGACATGGGGGCGAGTAAATTATCAGCAACAGTTTTTTTTTAAAGTGAGCTACTCCTTTAAGGGCCGTCTCAATCCCAAAATCCTCCTTCTGCACTTAAACGTTCGCTCCCTAAAACAATCTACTGATTCCCGATCTAGGGAGCTGATTGAGACGCATCCAAGATGTTCAACATTTCCTGAAGAGAATGTCAGTGTTAGACCATGTCACATCATCTTCATTTTTAAACATCTTCAAGTTGTATCATGATGTGGAAACACAAGCATTTCTTTGTTTGTTTGGTGTCCAGTTAGAGTATCTGCACACTTACATCTCTTATGTTGGGTGGCGTGGAGACATTGAAGCCAGGAAAGTCAACCAGCTTGGAGACATCATAAGATGTGTTTTGGCTGGGGTGACTTTCATCTTCATCATTTGATCCTTGCAAAGAAAAGTGAGCGAGTCAACGGCAGCATAGTTGTATTTAAAACACTATCCTTCCTTAACCACGCTTATGAAAGGTGAAGGTCTTGCAGTTCTGTGGTCAGCGGCAACAAAACCCTCAAGTATGAAAACCCTTAGTAATAATATACTGACAATTATGGGGTTTCTTAAGCTTAGAGATTTGTTGCTAACACTGGCCACAATAAAATACCAAACTCAGTCTTACCATCATAGAGAATCAGGCCTGAGTTTTCCATTTCTGCCTCTTTTAACCAGCCAGGCGGGTAGCCGAGCTCCCTCATGCGGTAGATGAATGGAGGAAGGGTGTTTACAGTGATCCCAAGAGCATCAAGGAGGTCTTCACTACACAAAAACAGCCGACTTTCAGAAAAATGACATTTCACAGACCAGGCGTAAGACTAGTCCTAGACCTAGTCCTAACAAAGTTTAAGTTTTATAAGCTCAAATGGTTGCCTTGCTCTGTTCTGTGATGCGCGTTCGTGACTCTCCTGTTCGAACTTGTTCATCAAAATGAACAAATCTCTTTTCAGGTCATGACTCGAAGGGTCCTAGATTCATTGTCTGGTGTCGTTTAAAGCCCTTTGAAGCTGCACTGAAACTCTCATTTGGACCTTGAACCGTTTGGTTCCCATTGAAGTCCATTATATGGAGAAAATCCTGGAATGTTTTCATCAAAAACCTTAACTTCTTTTCGACTGAAGAAAGAAAGACATGGACATCTTGGATGACATGGGGGTGCGTAAATTATCAGCAAAAGTTTTTTTTTAAAGTGAACTACTCCTTTAATACAACTTAATCAACTTAATCTTTGCTGCCGAAAAAAAAAAAAAACACTCTAAATGTTTTTTTTTTTTTTTCCGACACATTCACAATCATTACTTCTGCTAGTGCGCTTGATTTATATTTTAAGGGCTCATTTCTATTTAGCATTTCTCTGTAATGTAGAACAACAATGATACATGACTGAAGGAGTGTTTGCCTTATTTGAAAACTAAAAAATGACTAAAGAAAAAAATGCAAATATTGCCACTTCATAAGATGACTGACCTCATTACTCCTGGCTTGTACTTTGCAAATCGCTCCTCGACCTCTTCTGCATGGTACCGTTGGTTGCTCAGATTGCTGCTCTGTGAAAACGCCTTTCTTTTTTCATTGATACGAGCCATATCTTTGGGCTTAAACAGCAAACATAAATGTTAAAAAGGTTTGATTTATAAGCATAATGCAACAGTATATTTAAATCTAGTACATATATAGTCAATAACTGAAGGAAAAAACACCTTGGGACAGTCTCGGAGTTGATGGTCCTCAGAACAGCAGTTAAAACAGCACGGTCTAGGTCTAGAAAGACGACACAAGCAATCGGAAACAATACTGACTTGCACCAGTCTTCCAATACCATCACAATATCAATATCCTAAAGCTGCGATTGTAAACTCCATACCTTTTCTCCTTTACCTGCACCTCTTGACCCTCGAGGGCAATGATCTGGCCAAAGACCTGCTGGTATCTTTGCAAAACATGATTCAGGAGCAGTGCTGTGCATAGATGTGTAAAATAAAAGTGAAAGCATTCTCTAGATTATGCAAATGAGCAATGAGATTATGCAAATGAGCTTTTAGGATACTTGGGAACTTCCCATCCCTCAGTCAATTGGGGGTTTTCATTCAGCAGCGGCTGGCCAAGTTTATCAACACAGAAGTTGGTGAAGTATAAAACACTCCCTATTATCTACAAACCAAAAACAAGTGTGATTAGCAGTGGTTTCAATAGTCGACTAATTGAATATGAATAATGTGTGCTGCTGTGTCACTCACACTGAAAGCATTTTTTATAAGTTGGGAGTCACTGGAAGTCTTCGCTTTATAGCTCTCCTCCATGACGAAACTCGATTGCTACAAACAAGGAAAAAACAGAATTTGTGATTACTGATGATTGAGACTACTGTATTAACTTTCTTATCCAGTGATATTAAAGATGTACATGTGGGTTGACATGAAGCGCAGAGCCTTCTGGATCATTTTTACACTCATGCAGGCGTTTCTCGACAAGACAGTAGATGAAGTCTTCGATGTCTTTCCGACACTGCCTGAACACACACACAAAAAGCATATAAGCAAAACTACATTTTTGAAAACGTTGAAACATTATAATCAACAATGTTATAGGAAATACCTACTTGGAAATGATGCTGTTTCCATAATTAACCTGACAAAGTGGTCCATCAGTTTTGGAATCTGCTATTTTTATACCCCTGGCATAAAAATGACCGTTGAATTAAATCAATTACTGCAAATGCCCCATTTAACCATATATTGAAATAGAGTATTATAAACTCACGTAGGACGACTTAATATGTTCAACTTTCTCTTCAGTTCCTCATGTGGATCATCATTAAGGTACAAAATTCAACACTCAATATAAAGACAGACAACAAGCAGTGGGAAAAAGAGAGAGTAGAAGTACCATATATAGGTATTAGCTACTATTGATCAGTATGAGCATTTTTATCGATTTGACGAGGCTATACAGAGCATATTTATTCCAGTGAACATTGTTCTGTTCCAGTGGCTGTATTACTGAAACTTCCCATCTTAATTCTTGACTGAGGATTTGACAAGTTATATTACAGAAAAAACGTTTCTAAGTACTAAACATTCAATCTGTTCTATTTTCAGTCTTGATGCTTGATGTCACTTGCAGCATGTGAAATTGTAAATTAAGGAGTTTCAGTATGCATTTCTAACAAAAAAGATCTGCTGTCGGTGCAAACTTACAACGGGATAGTTCACTCAAATATGAAAATTCTTGTCATTAATTACTCACTCTCATGCCATTCAAAACATAAGACTTTCGTTCATCTTCAGAACCCGAATGGAGGTTTTTTAAAGGAGTAGTTCACTTTAAAAATAACTTTTGCTGATAATTTACTCACCCCCATGTCATCCAAGATGTCCACGTCTTTCTTTCTTCAGTTGAAAAGAAATAAGGTTTTTGATGAAAACATTCCAGGATTTTCTCCATATAATGGACTTCAATGGGAACCAAACGGTTCAAGGTCCAAATGAGAGTTTTAGTGCAGCTTCAAAGGGCTTTAAACGACACCAGACGATGAATCTAGGACCCTTTGAGTCATGACCTGAAAAGAGATTTGTTCATTTTGATGAACAAGTTCGAACAGGAGAGTCACGAACGCGCATCACAGAACACAGAACAGAGCAAGGCGAGCATTTTGTGCTTATAAAACTTAAATATCTTTATTTATTTTTGAAATGACTGATCGTTTCACTAGATAAGACCCTTATTCATCGCCTGGTGTCGTTTAAAGTCCTGTGAAGCTGCACTGAATCTGTCTTTTGGACCTTGAACCGTTTGGTTCCCAATGAAGTCCATTATAAAAATCCTGGAATGTTTTCATCAAAAAAAAAAACGTAATTTCTTTTCGACTGAAGAAAGAATGACATGAACATCTTGGATGACATGGGGGTGAGTAAATTAATAGCAAGAGTTTATTTTTTAAAGTGAACTAGTCCTTTAAATGGAATCTAGAGCTTTCTATTCCTCCATTGACAGATACACAACTACCACTTACAAGCCTCAGAAAGGTAGTAAAGACATCATTAAAGTATTCCATATGATTCCAGTGGTTTAATCTCGATTTTATGAAGCCATAATTTACAAATCTCGCTTTCACAAGAGCAGCAAGAGTCATGACACGCACGAGATGGATTTTGTTAGGTGAGGGCACGTTGGAGATTCATATTTTCAAAAAAAAAAAAAAAAAAAATGGTGTAAATTAAGTTACGTTTTATTTTTATTTTTTTGTTGTTGTTTTTTTTTTTGCACAAACAAAGCACTTGTCCCTGGGGCTTGAAAGTGGTACTTACGTAAATTAGCTGTCAATGGAGGGACAGAAAGCTCTCAGATTTCATAAAAATATCCTAATTTGTGTTTTTAAGACGAACGAAAGTCTTAGGGGGGGTTGTAATTATTGACCGAATATTAATTTTTTGGGTGAACTCCCCCTTTAATCATAATTTCCCCGTAAATGAAGTAAACACAACTGATCTGAACTAAACATAACTGATCTACACAAACATCAGACATTGCCTTTAAACGTCTGTTGAACACAGTCAAAAGTGCAATAATAGATACCGGTATTTCCAGTGATACAGGTATATTTAACACGCAAGCTAAGCAGTCAAATATATTTCAGCCGTTAACGAAAGCCAGCACGCTCACTGGATGAAACACTGTAAGGATATTCTCTGCCTTCAGACGCTCTACTGTTTCTTCGCACGCTTCTAATGTCTGCCGAAGCCCCCGGAGTCGGTCTGAACTCTCACCCTCTTCCTCATCACCTTCATCTATTATACGAATGTGCTTTGGCGCTTTTTCTTCGAATTGCTCGAACAATTCTGCATCTCCAAAATCCACCGCCGCCATGTTTGATGATCACAAAGCGCGTCCGGTTCGAAGGGCAATTCCTACAACGCGATGACGCCTGACTGTTGATTGGCTAGAGACCAGAATCAGGAAGTAAATATACACTCAAATGTAGAAACAACGGAACACATAAAGCATAAGCAGGCTATATGACCGTTTCTAAAATATATTTTGCGGTTTTACAATGCTCTTCTTTAACACGTTAATTAAAGATTATATGTGGCATGTCAGGGCGTTTGCAATAAAACTATTAATTTCTTCACTATTTTAAATTTTTCCTGTCTGTAAATCATCATGACATCTGGAGGAGTTTCTCTCATCAATATGTCATACTGGGAGAGTGGGAAAAGGAGGATACGACTCTTGTATCTTACAAACAATAACACCTTTAACGTTACTAAACAATGCACAAATGAGGTGAGTGTACCACTAACAAAAGTACCATATTACTGTTGATTTTTGGACAAACCCTGCTGGAAATCCAGCCTAAGCCTGGGCATATATGATTTAGTATGATCGGACTGGGACACCAGCTGAACACCAGCCTGGCTAGACTGGGAGACCAGCTTGAAAACTGCTAAGACCAGCCAAGGCAGATTTTAGCATTTGTTTCTTCTTCATGGAAACCACTGCATCATAGAAGCTATGGAAACTTGTTTCTGCCACTGAATAAAAAAAAAAAATAATTGCGACTTTTTATCTCACAATTGTGAGATATGAAGTCAGAATTGTGAGAAATAAAGTCGCAATTACGAGATATAAAGTCGCAATTGCGTGTTATAAAGTCAGAATTGCGAGATATAGAGTCAGAATTGCGAGATATAAAGTCGCAATTGCGAGATATAAAGTCAGAATTGCGAGATTTAAAGTCAGAATTGCGTGATATAAAGTCAGAATTGTGATATATGAAGTCAGAATAGTGAGACATAAAGTCGCAATTGCGAGATATAAAGTCAGAATTTGCGAGATATAAATTCAGAATTGCGTGATATAAAGTCAGAATTGTGAGATATAAAGTCAGAATTGCGAGATTTAAAGTCAGAATTGCGTGATATAAAGTCAGAATTGCGAGATATAAAGTCAGAATTGCGAGATATAAAGTCAGGTAATTGCGAGTTTATTTGTCGAAATTCTGACATCTTTTCTCAGAACTGTGAGATATAAACTTGCAAAGATTTATCAGGCCAATTCTAAGGGGAAAAACTTTTTTCCCACTCAGAATAGTTTATATCTCACAATTCTGACTTTACAATACGCAATTGCGACTTTATATCTAGCAATTTTTACTTTATATCTCGCAATTCTGACTTTATAACACGCAATTCTGACTTTATATCACTCAATTCTGACTTTACATCTCGCAATTGCGACTTTATATCTCGCGATTCTGACTTTACATCTGGCAATTGCGACTTTATATCTCGCGATTCTGACTTTATATCACGCAATTCTGACTTTATATCAATCAATTCTGACTTTAGGCTATATCTCACAATTCTGACTTTATATCTTGCAATTCTGACTTTATAACACGCAATTGCGACTTTATATCTCGTAATTGCGACTTTATTTCTCACAATTCTGACTTCATATCTCGCAATTGTGAGATAAAAAGTCGCAATTATTTTTTTAATTTTTTTTTTTTATTCAGTGGCGGAAACAATCTTCCATATAAAGCAGTGCGTTCCCTTCCTGGAAAAAAAACCCAGCCAAAATCACTCTATGCGGCTCTTAACTGGTTTAAACTAGACATAACTGGTTTAGTTTTAGATGGTTGGCTTGTTGGCCAACCAGTTTACAAAACCAGACGGGACCAGGCTGAAAGACCAACTAAAACCAGTCAGCCTGCTTTTCACCCTTTTCTTGATTATTGATAAATTAAATGCATGTTAAATACTCTTTAATCCATATCAGTTTAAAGTATTTCTGTATTAAATTTTTAATAAAGAAAGTAAAGAGAGACCTGAAAAGTACTTTTTGCTGTAAAACCTTTGCTGTGGGACCTGATGATACCTAAAAACATTACATTTTGTTTATACATTAGTTTGTTGATTTTTTTTAGGATCAGATGATCCCTCTCTTTCTTGGAGCTGATCTGTTCTCAGACACAGACGTTCGCAGTGAAAACCAACCCAGATACCACGCGAAATATGCTAAACGAGGATTGGCAACTAAACTGGTTTTCTCATCAGGTATGTGATGATCATTATTTGGCCCGGGCATTGAACTATTAGAGGATAATATTTACCTTATCGCTCTCTAGACTTCAGATTCCAAGGGCTACGACTTCCCTTTTCCAACAACAGTCTGTGGTTCTATAGTGTTCAAGGAGTTTTTCGAGTGGCATTTGACCTATATAGCAAACAAGACCAGCTCTCAATTATGGAGTCATTTCAGGTAATATGAGTTTATCATTATATTTCATGGTTTTCTATCTCCACGACTCTTTTTTTATTCATTTTCCTCGCAAGGATCTATGGAAATCTCGAATAAATGACAACAACTTAAACACGACCTATCATCTGGGTGCCCAGGACGTTCAACCCCAAAACGACCAAGAGACACAAACAATTTTGGCAAATAATAAAACATGTACATCATACCAAGGCCATCAACACTCTGACGGAGGGGAAATGGACATCTTTCCAATAACCACAGTCGAGTCAGACATTTCATCATCTACAGATCATGACTACTGTTCCTCAACAGAGCAGACGAACTTAAGCCAGTGTCGTTTACTTGCTGATAAACTTCACAGCCTAGCGGAAAAACTGAAGTTACTTACAAATATGGAAGCAGAACAAGTAAACACCACCACAAAGCTCTTGGACTATGTTGAATACTCTATTACGGGGATGATTGAAGAGGAAAGACTGACGGAGACTGTGATGGCACTGCTTCACTCTCATTTTAAGAGCTACTCCATCTACTCAAGCAGTCTTTTAAAGGCTGTGGCTGGTTGGCTTGGCCAGCAGTTCAATGCAGCCAACGGCACCATTAGCCACCGGGTTGAAGGTTTTAAGACCCAACACATTGAGCACATCACGAACTTGCCACCTCCAGAGGAGCTAGCAACTGAACTTTTTCCAGAGGCAATGCGAAATCTTCTTGCACACTGGATGGGTCTGAGTGACGAGGCCGAACACTGGAAACGACACAGCGAATACCCAATTTTATTGCTTATCCTAGAATTTGCCAATCACAATCTTATCACTGGGGTGGCCCATGTATTGTATTCCAGTCTAATATGCAAATAAGTGTAATTGTTTAGCATATTATCACCTGAGAAGCCATTTTTATAGTTGTATAGCTTTTTAACAAATTATTCCAAATAAATAGTTTACCGTTAACAGTCTTTTTTTCACACATGTTGAGGGCACAAATGTAGTATTTGGTCACTTGTGAATTTAGGCCAAACTATTAAGAATTTAAAAGGAAAATGGCTATCACTCGTAGTTCATATCTTCATATTTTTAACACATGCTTTTCGCCACGCTCAGCTTAAAATGTGTTGAAGCGTTAGACAAGAATGTTTTGGTTTATCCAGCATGGTTTAACGATGATCAGAGCGACACAGTATAGCTGGTAAAACAGGCAGTACATCTCCTATTTAGTTACAACTGACCTACTAAACATGGGGAAGAAGAGGCGTAGTGAAAATAAAAGTTACAAACCTGCAAAGGAAGCTTTACTGTGAGATGGGATATCTCCCTTTTTTCAGAAGGAACCTAATATGGAAGAAATGTCCATTTTCGAGCGGAAGTAAATGGACTGCATTCATATAGCGCTTTCATAGACCTGATGGCCACCAAAGCGCTTTACATTTGCCTCACATTCACCCATTCATACACCGACGGCGGTACATATTGTATGCTTTGTTTTGATCAAATATGTGGATTTGGTAGTTTAACCCTTGCAATGCATTAAAGAACTGTATCTTGTTGCTTTACCATGTCTGTTCGGATCCAGTGAAACTTTTTTATAAAACAGTTCTAACTTCATATTTTTCAAGTAAAACCATATTGTATCTGATCAATAACTTCTATATAATAATATATAATTTCCCACAAAAGTGCACCAAGTTAATTTAATATTATAGACCATTTGACAAGATGTAAACAACACTGGTCCAGAAGCACTTCCTGTTTCAGTTTTTTAACACTATATAAAAGCTGGGATAAAATACAACCAACAGAACATTTAAAACTGAATCAAAAAGTTAAACAAACATCTTTAAGATGTTTTCTTTACATGTGAATTAAAGAACACAGTTACAAACTGAAACAGGAAGTGTTTCTGGACCAGTGTTGTTTACATCTTGTGAAATGGTCTATAGTATTATACACTTCTAATATAATAATCACGATATTCATGTTAAATGAGGCACTTGGATTTTGATAGAAACGGTTTAACAAACATTACGAGGGAACAATACTGAGGGGCCGTTTACATTATACTATTTTCAACTAAAAACAGGCCCATTATTACATTTAGTATATCAATCGTTATGGTTGTGTCCACCTTTTTAACTTGATCTTGGTCTTTTTAAGATTACATCAGGCAAAAGGTAAAAATTAGGAAACTTTTATTCAGGAACTCCCTAATGAGCACACTAAACAAGTGCAAATATGGTGTGCTGTAACACACACATCAGCTATTTCTAACTATTTGGATGGTATGCATATTTTATTAAGTCAAGCTAGCTAGGTTTAACTTGACTATTAAGAATCACAAGTAACATTGCAATAATCTAAGATCGCACAAATGCGGTTAAAAGTGGAGATTTCAGATGGTCCAATCTCAGTTTCTCTTAATGTTATAAGAACAAGCCAAATATATATATAAAAAAAGTTTGATCTTAATTTATCATGTCAAATACTTCTCATCATAAATGGTTTTGTTGCAAGTATAGTTTTTTTTTGTTTCCCAACCGAAACTAATGAAATGTCTGGCATGTTAATTTGTGCCCTTAATATATTTATGTAGTAACCATTTTATTAAAATCAATGAAGCATCAGCAATATAGCATCGCCCCTAGTATCCAGAAATGTATTCACACGCGTTGGTCGTTGATATTTCAGGAATCGCTACCTTCAGGGAGTTTCAGTACAAACTAGAGCCCGACCGATAAAGGATTTTGAAGGCCGATACCGATACAAATATTTTGGGGTTTTAAAATCCGATATTGTTGGATTTCACACACGTGTAAAAGAAAAGCGAACTTTTCTGCACAAGATACGTTTGATACTTTTTCTCTATGTCTAAATGTTCACTCCTCTCAAGTATAACTTACATTTTACAATGCAGGGACTGTAACTAGAGATATGCTAGTTATAAATACAGTAATAATTACTTTTTTTAGGCAGAAAAAGTTCATTGTGGTTTCCATTAATGTTAACGTTAGCGGTCTTCCACTGATGATGGTGGCATTAGCTAGCTTTGTGGTTAGCTAGTCTATGATGAGCCATAATTTAGCAATAGATAACATCATACTGCAAATTGTAAAACATACATTTTCAATATAACAGGCCAAGGAGAGATGATTAAAGCGTGTTTCGTCCGTTTTTATTTTATTTTTTAAATATTAATTTATCGGCCATTATAACTGCCGATACCGATATTATGGAAAATGCCTAAAATCGGTCTGGCTCTAGTACAAACACAGTGAAATATACATTCCCCACCCAAAATCCAAATGGAAGCTTTACAATATTAAACACTTGTCAGAGACCAAGCAACAATATATGTTTGTGCAATCAACTGTATTTACATGTGAATTTTGCAAAATGAATAAAACAACAGGTCTGATGAATTATACATGCAAGCTAATGCACCAGCATTCTCTACACGCACGTACAAACCAGATTTACAGGGGCAACGTCGGCCAGAATTTACAGAGACGAGAAGCACGAGTACAGAGTGTTCAGACAGCGTCCATTCCCCTTGATGAAAAAGAGGAGGAGAAACCAAGGCCCATTCCCCTCTGCGTGTGTGTCTGTGAGCGGGCCATCTCGTACTGGACGTCCAGGTTGCGAAACATCTCTTCCTGCTGCTGCAAGGTTTTAAGACCTTCTTCGTTAGTGGCTCCTGATGAAGTGGCTTCCTCTTCACCCTATGGGGAACACAATCAATCAGAACATTTCTATATTAAAGAGGATTAATTAAGTGTTGATTTTGTTTTGGGGCTTGAACTGCTTCGAGCGAGTTTGGGAAATGTCCCGCCTTTTACCACAGCCACCTGTTTCAACACACTGCTAACTCAACCAGGCCTTGTCCCTTTATTATGCGTTTGCCTTGGGCAGGAATTGAACAGAAAACTCAAGACTACAATGGAGGCGTTAAGGAGATCAGAAACAGTGACACTGATATAGAGAATAATAACTCCAACTGGAGTGACTTTGTGCTTTGGGTAACACTTTACTTGAACAACATATGTTATAAATATGAAGGAAGTGTTATCCATGTTTATGACAACTATCATTAAGTGTCATTCGCTCAGTTATGACATTTGTAATGCAAATATGACATTGTTTGAGATGTCAGACAACACAACCTGTCATAAACATGACATAGCAGATTAATGATCAAACTCAAGAAACCACCTAGCTTTATTGGTTAACATTACATTAAACTGTCAGGTGGTTGGTTTTGACATTATAACTTTTTAATGACAAATTCAATTAGTATCACTGTAGTTGACATCACGAAAAATATTCATGACAGTTATAATGGCCTCATGACAGCCAATGTCAAAGCCAACCACATGACAGTTTAACTTCATTTTATGTCAAGTTGTCATGACAAAGACACTGAGGTAATGATGTTATGGTTTGTCAAAATGTCATAAAGACATCTTAAAGGATGTCATATTTGCATTCAAAATGTCATTATTGAGCAAAAGTCACTTGTCATAAACATGCATAAACCTTACTTCATATTCAAGACATATGTCATTGTTATGAAGGTGTCATGCCAGTCTTATGCACACCCCTTCAAGTAAAGTGTTAAAAAAAAGGATAATAGGACCCCTTTAAATTCTCCATTTGACACATTAAGAACATTTTAAATAGATAAAGTAATATTTAATACAGGAAAACACTTACTTTAATTCCCATAAGCTTGCGAAATTTCACATTTTGGTCTTTATTGCCAAAATTCAGCTTCTCCCAAAGCTCAGCTGTCTGTGACTTGTCCTACAACATAAACATAAATATTAGATAATATAAAATAATACATTATTTATTTATGTGGTGAAATGCTGTGAAATAAGTGGTATGAATGTAATGTATCCCTTAAATATCCATCTAGTTTGAACTTGCCACTCTAGCAACTGCTCTCTCCGCGAAAGCTTCGCGTTTAAAGAACTAATAAAATATTTTGACTCTAAATAATAGCTCTGGTAAAATAGTAGAATAAAACTACAAAATGTCAGGCTGTGTGCTGTAATATCAAAAAATGTATATTTTGTTTTACTTTATTTTATGGTTTAGTGTTGTTCTGGATGTCCAGTAATGTGTATATCAGTATCTTCATTTTTAATTGTTTAGTTCTCATTATTTGTTTTATTTTGTTGTTTTTATGTTCAAACAAAAGCCAATACATAAAAAAAATATATATATATATATATATATATATATATATATATAAAATTATTTAATTATATATAATTTTATATTATTATATATAATTAAATTATATGTTATTATATATAATAATTATAATTATATATAATTAAATATATATAATTTTATAATTAAATATATATAATTATTATTTTATAAAATAATTATATATGTATAAAAAATTATTATTTTATAAAATAATTATAAAATTATTTAAATATAAAATTATATATATATATATATATATATATATATATATTCTGGATGTCCTGTAATGTGTATATCAGTATCTTCATTTTTAATTGTTTAGTTCTCATTATTTTGTTTATTTTGTTGTTTTTATGTTCAAACAAACGCCAATACATTTAAAAAATATATATATATAAAATTATTTAATTATATATAATTTTATATTATTATATATAATAATTATATATAATTAAACATATAATTTTATAATTAAATATATAATTATTATTTTATAAAATAATTATATATATATATATATATATATATATATAATTATTATTTTATAAAATAATTATAAAATTATTTAAATATAAAATTATATATATATATATATATATATATATTCTGGATGTCCTGTAATGTGTATATCAGTGTCTTCATTTTTAATTGTTTAGTTCTCATTATTTTGTTGTTTTTATGTTCAAACAAAAGCCAATACATTTAATAAAAAAAAATATATATATATATATATATATATATATATATATATAAATAAATGTTAAAGTTATGCGTCTAAATGTTTAGTTATGTGGCAAGTAGCCTATAATAACTGGATTATGTACATCCTGCCAGTTGTTATCGCAGAATAAACCCCTTCAGGCTGATCCAAGACCCTGATCACCCTGTCCGGGTTTATTCTGCGATAACAACCGTCTGGATGCACGTTATCCCTCACATAGGCAAGCAAGCAACTCTTATCCTCACCCCTTCTTTCTTCCCTTGCCACAACTTTTTCCTCTTCTTTTCCTGCTCGGCAAACTTCATTGGGTTGACCGCTGAGGGATTGTAGTAGCTTGGCACAGCAATGCCAGTCTCTGCCAGTGTCTTGGCCTGAAGCGCTGCCATCTGAGCTGCCATTGCGATCTGGGGGGTGACCTGTGTGCCCGAGGCCAGCAGAGCTGCGACGTTCAGCGCTGGACTGGGAGCAGTGGTGGCCGGATCACACAACAGTGGAGCAACCGCTGGTGGAGAAACAACCAACAGAACATCAGACGGAGCGGGTCAGACGTCAAGGCCTTACACCAACAGCCATGTGGACTTGGAGTTACTTGCCTGCTGCTTGCTCTTGTTGCCGTTTTTCCAACAATTCTTTTTCTTTCTGTTCCTGAAGCTTCTTTGCTCTCTCCAACCTAAGAGTGTGAAGTGAATGTGTTTACTGAACATGAGGACTAGAAAGCAGTTAAAACGTCACTAATCAGCTAGAGGTGGTTTTCACACTGGGGTCCGAATCAGAGTGTGATTATTCCCGGCACAGTTGGTCTGCTTTCAAACCCATTGGATTCTGTAGAGCAGAGGTGCATTTCCATTCATTTTGGATTACAAACGGGCAAAGCGTGCGCAATGCAGGTCGCTAGATTATAATTTTTTTTGGTTCTATTATGCACAATAACAGACCCAAGACGTAACTCAACAGATGTCTGGGGGAAGGTGGCTTTATGCGCAATTCATTAAGTTCATTGAGAACAATACGAATACCTAAATTTGATCAACAATCTTAAGAAGAAAAGATAAGAACATTCTTGGGAAAAGTTGAGGAAACAAAATATTATATTTTTTTCTTAAGTTAGAAAAGAAGAAAAAAATTGGCCGTTAAGAATTTCATCGTTGGGAATGTTTCGTGAATCCGACCTGTTAGGTAGAGTGGAAATTAAACCGATTTTGACAATATTTCTAAATCAACCAGTTATAACCTTTTCTGGGAGTATATCTACACATACGCAGTATACAACAAAAGTGAGTAAACCCGCTTTAATTATGATTTGACAAATAAAGTATTTCCTCTGACGAACAGTCGAAAACAAATACCTTGAAAAAACAAAAGATACAAACTCGACGCAAAAAAAAAAAGTAAGGACACATGTTCAACTTATAAGTAACGCAATTACTGTAAGGTGATAAAAGTCGACATGAAAAAAAAACGCGATAGTCTTTTCTTCCCTATTGTGACGTATATCGAGTGAAACGGCTTCTCGGGCAAGAAAAAAAAAAGTAGGACGGGACTTGATTTTGTCTATTGGGAATTGGTGGATCTCATGTGAGTGACAGGTTGCCCCGCCCCCTCACCAGTAAACACATTGTCAGAGAGGAAAAGGGAGGAGATGTCACTGCAAGAGGGAGGGGAAATTATTTTCATTAAAGATTATGAGGGCACATGAATTTAAAAAAACAATTATGATTTTGATTTCACGGTGATTTGACGTAATATTGCACGGGTGCGTACTCACTTCCGCTATATACTGTGTATAATATCCAAATAGTTTATTTTGTGCTTCCAAGCAACAGATGTCACTCTACCTTCTAGCCAATGCTTCCTGAGCATCCATGGCTGTGTTTCTACCCCTGAAGGTCACAGGGCTAACTGACCGACTGCGACTTTTTCTCCGCGCTTTCTCTGTCCTCTTCTTCTTCTCCCTAGATAAAATCGGACCATCTCACGGTTTAAGCACAAATCAGCATTTTCATTCACAAAAAAAAGATCCCAAACACAAAATCTTTGTCCACCTGCTCTTGCTCCGGCTCCTGCTGTGATGTCTGTGTTTGCTTCTGGAGTTCGAGCGAGACCTGGCCCGTCTCTTTTTCTCGCGACTCCTCGATCGCCGTTCACCACTGCGTGAGCGGGATCTTCTTTTGTCCCAGTTTCGACCGTGATGTCGTCTTCGGGAAAACATTAATTCACATTAGGGATGTCAATTCTCACAAATTCCCATGATCGGCCGTCATTTAATTAATCGTTAGCATTAATGGCTTTACACAGGGTCTGCAAATGCTGCTCAAAAAGCTATGTTCCTCACCAAATTAATAAGAATGGTTTTTAATCTAAATAAAGGGTTAGTGGGATTGTAAAAATTTTTGATGTGATTGATAAATTAAATTAATTATTTAGCCGAAAACGGCTGTTGATTACGGCAACTAAACCCATTGAATTCACAACCATTTAATAAAATAGTGTTCAATCTCATGTTATGTAATATGACAGTCCCAAATTAACTATCGTTATTATTAGTTGTGCATTCTGCTTGAATGAATAACCGTTAAGCACTTTGTTAGCATTTATTTAACTCAAAGAAATTGATATTAATTAGATACACTGCTGGTCAATTTTTAAATCGGTAAGATTTTTTTTTGTTTTTAAAATAAGTATCTTCTGCTCATCAAGGCTGCAATTATTTGATAAAAAATACAAAAAAAACAGTAATATTGTGAAATATTATTACAATTTAAAACAGCGGTTTTCTATGTGAATATATAGTGAAGTGTAATTTATTCCTGTTATCATCATTACTCCAGTCTTCAGTGTCACATGATCCTACAGAAATTATTCTAATATGATGCTCAAGAAACATTTATGATGTTGAAAACAGTTTTTTACATTTTTATTTCAGGATTCTTTGATGAATAGAAAGTTCAAAAGAACAGAATTGATCTGAAATGGAAAGCTTTTGTAACATTAATCACTACCATTCAAAAGTTTGGGGGCAGTAAGAATTTATTTTTTATTTTTGGGGGAAAAATTTTTTGAAAATACTTGTTTTATTCATCAAGGATAAGTTAAATCGATCCAAAGTTACAGCAAAGACATTTATAATGTTAGAAAAGATTATATTTTAAATAAATGCTGTTCTTATGAACTTTCTATTCATCATAGAATTTTGGGGGGGAAAAAATGGTACACGACTGTTTTCAACATTGAAAATAATAATTTTTTGAGCATAAAATCAGCATATTAGAATGATTCTGAAGGATCATGTGACTCTGAAAACTGAAAATTCAGCTTTCAAATTACATTTTAAAATATATTAAAATAGAAAACAGTCATTTTAAATTGTCATAATATTTCACAATATTACTGTTTGTCATTTTTTTTGTCATCAAATAAAGCAGCCTTGGTGAGCAGAAGAGACTTCATTTAAAAACATCTTACTGATCTAAAACTTTTGACCGGTAGTGTCAATATTATATCTGCACAAAATGACGTGAATGCACAAGTGAACTTAAACTAAGATACGTGCCATTCTAATGGCTCATGTTGTGGTGGACGTGCTCTCAACAACGCAACATGGCATCTAAACCCAAATAATTTCACAATGTTGTATTACAATATTGTTCTCTTTATAATCTTGTGTAATATGATTAGTCATGCATTGTCGTTTGAGCGGAGCGCTCTAAAGATCACGTCAATTCTTAACCAAATGCATCCGATATGAGATAAATCAGATGTAGATTTGCATAAAACAAAAGGCTGCGAATGCACACGCGAACTTAGTCATGATGAAGGTGTAAAATAGTCCCAAACAACTGCAGTGTGTGTCATTCAGTGTGACTCATGTTTTGCAGTTGATGATCCTCCTGCTTAATCGAAGATCGAGAAGTTTTATCAATTAAATGTATTATCGTCAATTAATCGATCGTCGATCCCTAATTCACATCTAACCCTACACATTCTGACACTTTGCATGAATGAAATCAAAATGAAAGTACCTTTCCTTTGAACGTGATCTCGATAGGCTTCTTGGCCTGGAGGACTTCTTGTCTTTTCTGCGATGTCGTTCCTCCACTTCTTCAGACAGCCTGTCTCTGCCTTTATCGGACATCTCCTCTGATCCACTCTGACATTTCAGAGCTTTCTCAGAGTCTTTCTTCCGTGCCTGTTTTAAGAAGAATTGGTCTCTTTCAGGAAAATAGTGCAATAAAGAGAGTTAGTAAGTTGATTTAACAACAAACTTGCCAAAATAATTCTGACAATAAATGATTCTTTAAAAAGCTCTTCCACCACCATCATCCGAGTGCAGCATGTACTGTTACAATTAACACAAATGAGTGCACTTAACCAGCACATTTACACCTATTCTGTACCAAAAAAACATGGGAGATCTGTCTATCTTTATTGTGAGATTTCATTCATATGAACTGGCATTTTCTTTTCTTATTTTTCTCTTACAGTCAACATGAAATCAAAATGCACCCCATTTACTTGAATGTTCCTTGACTTATCGGTCACATTATACACGTTACAGCTTTGGGATTTGTTGAGTCTTGTTTCCCAGCAGTCTCAAAATGTGGCCTAATTTTACATTTATATCCTCCATACATCTCCTCATATCTGACCTCAGTGGACTACTTGCACTGAGCTTTGTGACGCACTTCCGTTTTAAAAGAGTGCAACTCATTTTTCAGAAGAGGTATTGTGATGACTACAGTGTAAATGTGTTGGTAACACTTTGTTTCGATAGTCCACTAAATACACAACTTTTCAACTACATGTCAACTAGCTGTCATTAGAGTATTAGTAGACTGTCAGCTTAATATCTGCTAACACTTTATTTTGATGGTCCCCCAACAGACATTCAACTGACTATAAGTAACTTGGCGACTATCATCCTAACCATAACCTCACTCACAGTCTACTATAATATACTAATACTCTAATGAGAGTTATTTGATACATAGTTGAAAAGTTACTAGAGCCCGACCGATAAAGGATTTTGAAGGCTGATACGGATACAAATATTTTTAGGTTTTAAAATCCGATATATCGGCCGATATTTTATTTTTTTATTTTTTTAAACTGGACATGATAGTCACAAATTTTGTCATGCTTATTTGAGTTAAGAGAACTGATGGGGATGTTCTTTTAATTGTTATTCAAGCAATGTATGTATCGTGAACAATTCAACGAGTGTTGCCAACAGGAACGGTGTAGAGTGCCCTCTGGTGGACAAACTATACAACTCCAACACTCATGACATGGTTCAAGCATGTTTCGTCTGTTTTTATTTTATTTTTGAAATATTCATTTATCGGCCATTATAACTGCCGATACCGATAGTTTGGAAAATGCCTAATATCGACCAATAATATCGGTCTGGCTCTAAAAGTTACTTATAATTAGTAGAACGTCTAAAGTGATTTAATTCAACCCAATTGGTTTAATCCAACCCAAGCCGATCTGAGAAAAGCTGTTAAACATGCGTGATTTTCCACCACAAGTTGTCAGAGCTCGTCTAAACTAGTGACAAGTGTATGTGACCTGATGAACACGATCAGTGCAAACATTTATTTTTATTAAATATTTAAATCACTAATTTATTGTCAGTCATTTCACTGTATTTCTGTTTAAGAGAGAATTAATCATTTTTATTCAAAGTAGTAGCGCTGTAAGATGAATTAAATATCAAATATTGTTACATGTATTTAAGGCATGTACTGCGTGCGCATTAATGTTAAACTATTTTAAAAGACTGGAATAAGAGCACCAATGCACACACAATCCTTATACAAATTCATTTAAAAATTTACATATATTCAGTAAAAGAAAATGCTGTTAATGAGAAGACGAGCACTGCTGCATGTTAGTAGGGGAAATATATGCATTTATTATTCTGAATTAAAAGAAAATAGATTTATAGGAACATTTCAGCAGGTTCAAGATAATTCATGCTAAAGCAGAGATCATGATTCATTGTTTTAATCAATTTACAAGTAATAATCTGAGTAACTGCATGTAGGCGCATTGAACGCTGTTACTGGAAACTCCAGAGTAGCTAGTAGTTGTGCAAGTATTCCACTGAGTCAATTCAAGATAAAGCAAACAGATTTGGGAATGCTGTTTCATGTTGACTTTAAAGGGCATTTTACATGACACGAGAAACTTTTTTGCAATCTTGCCATCTCTTATGTGTACAGGCACCGCCATACATGTAAGCAACGTAAACCACGGAAGCGCAAGTGGCTGAAATGGTAATAATTAATGATGCCCAATTGTGCAAGTAAACGAAAAAAAAAAAATCCTATTCTGACACGATTACACGTTTAAACATCACATAAAAAGGTATCTATAAATTTAAGGTGTAATAGCATTTATTTCTCCATAAATTAGTGGGGGTTCATTTGAGAAATGCAAAGATAATACAGCCATAAAAAAGGCAAAACAAAGTAACAAAAATGGCTTTAAACATTATGTTAGAGTGGATCTTATATTTACTGCTATATAAACTAAATAAAAAAATATGGTAAAAATGTATTTTAAAGTGACGTAGATACTACATGCATAATTACATGTAAATAAACCAAAACCAAACCCTAACTCTATAGTTCTTATTTGAGTAAGTACAATGTAACTAACTATGTCACCAAATGTAACCAAAAGTACTTCTGTTTATTGAAAAAGCTAAAACAAAATATAAATTAGTTAAAACTTACGACAGAACTAAAATTATTAACTGGGAATAAATAACCAAAACGGAAAGTAAAACAGATAAAACCTAAAGAGCAATATTTAAAAATATTTTTTTTAAAAAATGACAAAAGTACACTTACTTGCAAGTAACTAAAATTAAAGGAGTAGTTCACTTTTAAAATAAATAAATAAATAAATAAATAAATACTTTTGCTGATAATTGACACACCCCCATGTCATCCAAGATGTCCATGTCTTTCTTTCTTCAGTCGAAAAGAAATTAAAGTTTTTGATGAAAACATTTCAGGTTTTCTCCATATAATGGACTTCAATGGGGTCCAAATGGTTCAAGGTCGAAATGAGAGTTTCAGTGCAGCTTCAAAGGGCTTTAAACGACACCAAACGATGAATAAGGGTCTTATGTAGGACCCTTCGAGTCATGACTTGAAAAAAGATTTGTTAATTTTGATGAACGAGTTTGAACAGGAGAGTCACGAACGCTCATCACAGAACCGAGCAAGATGAGCATTTGAGCTTATAAAACTTAAACTTTTTTATTTATTTTTTTAAATGAGCGATCGTTTCGCTTGATAAGACCCTTATTCATCGTCTGGTGTCGTTTAAAGCTGCACTGAAACTGTCTTTTGGACCTTGAACCGTTTGGTTCCCATTGAAGTCCATTATATGGAGAAAATGCTGGAATGTTTTCATCAAAAACCTTAATTTCTTTTCAACTGAAGAAAGAAACACATGGACATCTTGGATGAGATGGGGGTGAGTAAATTATCAGCAAAAGTTTTTTTTTAAAAAGTGAACTACTCCTTTAATATGCAAACTAAGAGCCAATTCAACTCAAACTAAAACAACAATTCACTGCAGATTTCACAATTAAAAAAAATGTGGAATCTCTGTGTTTAGGCTTTGTAGGGCAGAATAGGTTAACTAAATATTAAATAGAATTTGACTAAATCTCAGCGGCTGCGGTTGTACACAACAAAGTGGCATGATTCCTGTGAGCCTGTTCTACCTCCTGCCCTGCTCTCCCATTGAAAGTGAACTCACGGTCACTGTGTCCAGCGCAAAAAGCCAATTATGACCAAATTCATCTTTAAAAAAAAAATTTCAGTGGTTTTAAAATAGATAATAACATTTTGCAAATTTGCAAGCATTTATATTAGAAACGACCACTCAATTTTCACTGCAATTTCGAGCTGGTATCTACACAAAAAAAGGGGGTTGTGAGACAAAAAGAGATCTATTTATAGGCAAATAAGTTTAAATGACTGATAGTTACCTGTCCAGGTAGTAGGCATATAATTTTGCTATCTGTCAGCAGCGTCTTCTGTTCAGAGTGTCTCTTCGTGCATTAGCACGCTGAGTGTAATTTATTATACAAATGTTATCATATGATCTAAAATACAGGACGTTAAAAAAGCTCCCAAACAGACATTTCTCTCCATCTGTGATCAACATGAATATTATTTAATATTACATGCACTTGTGATTATGTCAGTGCTTTTCCTCTCAGTCTGGCATTTTGTTTCTTACTGTCTAAGCTGCATACTTACCACCGGCTAAAACTAGAAATGCCAGCTGTAAAACTACTGATGATGATGTGACCAGTTTAATTTAGGTCTACATGACATCAATGGACTAAAATTAGTTACCTCTTTGCTTCTGCTGTGGCTTCTTCTGTGCCTCTTGTCTCCTAAAAGACAAAGAGAAACAAATAAATGATAGTTTGAAGGACACTGGAGGATTCAAATTACAAATTAAGAATTATAAATGAAATGGTTTGACCATCACAATCATTTTTTTTATTTCTGCTGACCCGTTTCCTATTGAAACAAAGTTGGGATAGAACATAAAAGCAACCTGGTAAAAATGTTGCTGAAATTGAACTTTTTCCATCATGCATCTGACGAAGAGGCCGCAGAATTAAATAAATGAGAAAGGAAAAAGAACCTTTATAGATGTTTGCATAGCAGTTTTTAGATGGACTCAAGGCTAACAGAAGCTGGGATTAATTTCTTTACGACTGAAGAAAGAATGACATGGATATCTTGGATGACATGGGGGTGAGTAAATAGAGAGCCTAAGTCCCGCCCCTCCGCTTCCGGCTCATGGGACCTTATTTAGGAAAAAATATGAATGGTAGTCAATGGCGAGGGACAACTTATCTTTTTATTACGTCTGAACTGTGCCCTCAATTACACATATGATGTTTGTCAATTTAAAAGATAATTCTGAAAGTCAAAAACGTCACAGTTTGTCATACAACAGAAGAGTAACATTTAGTTTTATGTGAAAATCGCTCTATGAACTACATCTCCCGGGAAGCGAAACGAGATCCGCTGCTCGTGTGTGTGCAGTCTGGTACAAAACACTCAGGTATGACGGCGTAACGTTACGATTATAACGTAAGACTGTAGAAACAATGACAGACAATAGCCTCAGTAAAGTTAGCTTCATTCATTGAGAGAAAATGTGCGCCTTTGGGGTTTGTAGTCTTTGTAATTACGTATTTTCACAGTCTTATACCTCAACGGTTTTACATCAAACTGCGACTTTCTTTACTTTAAAATGTATCTTTTAAATTGTCAAACATCATATGTGTAATTCAGGGCACAATTCAAACGAGATCAAAATATTTGTTGTCTCTCGCCATTGACTACCATTCATTATTTTTCCGAAATAAGGTCCCATGGTGGTCGACCGGAAGGGGAGGGACTTAGGCTCTCTATTATCAGCAAAAGAACTACTCCTTTAAAATAAAGTGAAACCAGATTTTGCTAGAAATAAAACAGCCTGAAAATGACACTGATAAATACCCATAAATATTGTGTCACGCCTCCAAAAAGTAAAGATCGGGGCTTAAAGAAAATCTAGAGCTTCCCACTGGTATTTACGACTTAGAGGTGGCGTTCACGCGCATTCAAATTGTAACGATGTTATTGACATAAAACATAATTGTTGGTTTAACTTTAAAAATTTAAAAATGCGACCAGGGCCTGGACTGTACCAACATGTCATCATCAGTAAGGCTGGTTTACCTGACTTTCGCTTCCGCTCCACTGAGCGCGATCTGGACCGTGAGCAATGCTTCGAGCTCCTGGATGTTTTGCAGGTTTCCAACCCGAACTCGGCGTCATTTGCCTGATAAATCACAAAACCAATATAAACATCGAGCCTTTATGTTTTGTTTACAATGCAAAGAATACGAAAAGCATTAAAACACTCGATTATGAACAGTCACACTGAGTTTTGTCGACTAACGTTAAGTTACTAAGACCGTAAGTGGAATTAATCAGCTAATCGCCGTATGTTTGTGTGCATTACGTGCTGGATAGCAAATTCAAATTAAACTATATAACTTGTTGTCATCTCGAATACACTAAAATAAAAAAAATACAAAATGGTTTTCGTTTTAGTTCATAACAATGTTTTGAGCCGTGCGATTAATGTTAGCTTAGAATCTGAAATCCGCCATTTTCCGAGTACAGAGTGTAGCCCATCAATCGCTGTTTCATTAATTGTGTGCTTCTGTCCAATACGACCTTGCCCAAACAATAATCAAACAAATGTACTTGCCGCCATGTTAACGAATAAAGAAAGGCTTTAGTTATCGGTAGAATTCGTAAAGATCTATCCGTCTATCATCCGTTCCTTCAGCGGTGGCACAACAATACCCGGATGTTTCTGTCTTCTTCTTCTTCTTCGGATATTCGCAGAAAGCTGCAAAAGCACAGCGCCACTCTTGTGGCTGGAGCCTATAACTACAGGTTATAGATTATGAATATGGATGTGTTTGAGAGAAGAAAAGCAGTTTCAAGTAATGCTTTTCAGCAGCGGTGTTTCAATGTGGTGAGATAAAAAAAAAAACCGTTAAGCAAAATAATGGCAATAAAATACATGTTTCAGTCTGTTCATAGTCAGATTCATTAAAGGGATACTCCACCGCTTTTTCATATTAAACTCTGTTATCCCTTTAACTAAGACGAAATGATACATCCCTCTCTCTCTCGTGCGTGCACTCAATCGCATTGACACTTTAATCGCACTTAAAGGTGCCATCTGTAAAAATTGAGGTTAAAATATCCCAAAAATGAGCAACACGCATCAAAAGATTGAGAAGAAATAAGGTTGATGATGTCATTAAAAAACTGACAAGTTATAGTGCTGCCGAGATATTAACCTGAATTAGCATGCTAAATTACTAGCCCCGGCCCGGCAGGTGTCGTAATACCAGTTTCGACCATGGGAGGCGGTATGCGGGCGGGCAACGTTACCACCAGCCAAACTGCAGTACACGAGTAAGTCGCGCTCGCGCCAGCTTGTGTGTACTTGAACCTGACGTCAGTCGTGTGGAAAATACAGCCCACTACTACATTTCAGTTCAGGGAAGAGTTCAAAAAAATGATTGGTCGATATTATGCATGAGGAATACATTTTGGTAAGTTGTAGCATACTGTATCTTTCAACAGTGTTCGTGTTCTTTTACCATTAGCTAGTAGAGATGAGCGGTTCACGTGCGCTAGGGATCTGTCGTGTAAAGCGCCAATACTGTATTTATTGTTTGAATTGCGTAATAAAATGAACAGAATCTGAGAGCTGACATCGGTCTCCGTGTCCTTTTCTGTGCATGACAAAATTAATGTGTGGCGTGAGAGTGTGTGAAAAGTGTTGTGAGAGTTGGCAGCTCTGCTTGGTCCACATCAGGGAATGCTGTCTGTCAAATTAATTCAAACTAATGATAAAAATGTAATATGAACAAATCGAATATCATAAAACTAGAAATAATAGCCTGGGCTTTAATTTTCCCATATCGTCGAAATGCACCGACTTGTCTATGAGACGGCCCTTATAATTTAGTATTGAGATGTTGTTCATTAAGTCTCTAATCTCTGAAAATCTCCAAATGCTCCACGTGAAACTGCGGTCTTCCAACCTTTTACTATCGCGTCAATTGATTTGATTAATATGCACGAGGGAGACAGAGCAACACAGCACTTGCCCATATTGTTTGAAGACATGAGAGAGCGCGTGGCCGTGGAGGTATTTCTGGAGGTATACTGCCCCCATCTGGTATGGAACATGTTGTATGATTTGATTTTAAATCCCATTTGGCACCATTGGTAGTCTAGGTCAGAATTTTATAAAAACTTTTTACCAAATTTGTTTAAACTTTCTATATATATCAATGCATAAATAAAATCTAAGTACTCTGAAAAAAAGAGTATAAAAATCGAGTGACTCTAGAACGTTTAATCTGCACTAAACACAGCTCATTATTTCGAACCGAGACGAAACAACGGATTGGCTTAGGCGACTGTCACTCTCTCGCAACCATGGCAACTGCCCTTTTGCCACAGGATCTGCCCACTTGCGCGTATCCAGATCGTACCTGTTAGTGATGGGAAGTCCGGTTCTTTTCCGCGAACCGGTTCTTTCGGACAGTTCGTTTTAATGAACCGGTTCAAAAAACCGGTTCACCAGTTCTTTTACGTCATCACGTAATGACGTCAATTCTATCATCCCGGCGGATAAAAATACTTCAAATTAAAGGCATTTGTAATCACAACTTCAGTTAAATAATAGTATGCATTGTCATAATCATCTTGGATAAGTTTCTTACATTTACATTTTGAAAACGAACCCTGCTGCAGCCTAGTCGATGTGCTAACGCGGATGTTTTACATGTTTTAAATATATAAAATGCATAAATGGTCTTCATCATTTTATTTGTTATTAAATAAACTTACATTTCGCCGATTCGCCCTCTCATTTAAGTCCTGGGTTCACCCGTACTACTGCGTGCTCGTATATCAGCACAGGATCAGCCGGCCGAAAGAAAGTTCTGTTCAGAGACGGTGCTATCACGCATGCGCAGTATCTCCAGCTCATCGGTTCTCCGTATCGAACGTGTCCGAAAGAAACAGTTCTCGGTTCTGCACTAGTGATTCAAGAGCTGCAACAACCAGTTCTCGACTCGAGAACCATAGCATAGTCCTGTGCTGAGCTGAAACCTGAATATACAGTCGACAAAACTAAAAAATCGATGCATGTCTGTCTCCAATATAGCCTGTAGCCTATACGTAACAGTATACATCATGTTTATAATGTGTTAACATAACGAATTAAACATATATGTTTAATTCGTTATGTTAACACATAAACATTTACTAAGCAGTGCACCAAACCTTGGCAAGAGTTTACATCAAAGATTTATATTGTTACTTAGAAATTAAATGAGCTGTTCCTGAAAATATTATTTTAGTATAATAATAAATGTTTAGTAGTTTGACAGTTTTAGAATCCAATCATTATTTCCAATCGTTAAAATAATACAGTGATACAGTAATGGGATAAACATGTTTCCAAAATGTTTTATTTTGTTACACTTACTGATGTTCAACCAAAGACGTGGAAACGTACATTTCGTCCCTCAGAAAAAAAATGCACGCATGCTCAGCTCATCAACTCATCAGTTCTCAATATGTCGAACGTGTCCGAAAGAAACAGTTCTTCTCGGTTCTGTACTGGTTATCCGACCGCTGTATCTGTACGTTCGGTAGTACACGCATGCGCAGTATCAGCTGCTCGTGCTCATCACTTCTCTCAGCACCAACATATGTCTCCGTTCAGTGAACTTTTTGAGTTACTGGAATAAAATGTACTTCTGGATATTGGTTTATTTCGATTCGGAGGGACTGTCAGGCATGTCTGAAAGTGAGTAACTTTAGTAACTTGTGGTTTAGCGCTGACGCAAGACGCGAACTGTTTCGAACGATTCAGTCCGATTTAGTGTACTGGTTCGACCGGTTCACTAAAAAGAACCGGTTCAAAAGAACGATTCGTTCACGAACCGGCCATCACTAGTACCTGTTCGCATTCCCTTGTTTGAGCTTGAAGATGCAAAACTCGACGCAGGTCCTCTTGTCTAAAAAGTGCTCCTTGCCCTGCACTTCGACTACCCCGTCCTCGGCCTCTACATAGCACGGCCTCTTGCACGACCTCTGCTTCGCCCTCGACCACGGATCTGTCCTCGAGCTGACGACGATGCGGTACTTGCTTTCTTACTGTCTATGAGTAACTTATTTGTCTCGGGAGTGTAGTCCTCACCAGAATCAACAATGCTTTCATCAAGCAAACTACATGCAGTCAGAACATAGGTGCGTTCCATTCGACAGGGTCCCTACGCAGTGTTCACTGCTCCCTACTCCCTGAACACGGTATATCAGCTGAAGTGATGTTCCCTTATTCCCTATGCCGTTTACAGTGCCCTTCGAACTGAACATGTTCGTTCCCTTCGAATTGGAATCTCACTTAAGATGGCGAAATACCCTGTGAAGTCCACTTCGCAGTCCACTTACGGTCGAATGGAACACACCATATATATTATGAATCTTACACGAAATTCATCTTCATCACAGTGTAAATGATGGCAATGGAAAAACTTAGCGAATCAATAAATATATATTGTAAACTTTACCAATATCAATATGCTAGCTTGATAGTGAGTAATAAAATACAACTTATTTGTTTATCTTCATAATGATAGTTAGATTTTCACTACATGCTCTCCTTCTTCTTCTCTACGCTCGTCTCAGGTAAATAATGCGTCTTCAGCTCAGCTGTCGGAGTCGCGCGTTCATGTGTTTTGGGGGCGTGGCTTTGGAAGGAGCCCAGAAGGGAGGGGGTGAAGTGAATGGAAATAATGAGCTGTCTTTAAAACAGTCGTGAGAGGTCTACAGACACTCGATTTTTATACTTTCTTTTTCAGAGTACTTAGATTTCAATTATGCATTGATATATACAGAAAGTTTAAAGAAATTTGGAGAAAAAAAAAAGTTTTTTTTTAAATTCTGACCTACACTACCTTTAACTAGCCCAATTCATTAAATATGGGCCAAGCAGAGAAGCGACCAAACACCTCCACGTTTTCCCTATTTAAATACAGTTACACGGGTAGTGTAACTGGACCTAGGACGGTGACACAAAATAAAACGTTAGGCTTTTCTAAGCGTGTAAAGTGGATAAGTATATATTGTATGGCGGAATACCACAGCAAGTGCTTGCGAGCACTTCGACTCGGCGTAGTAATATCATAACTTGTGAAAAGTCTTCTCCCCCTCTCACTCTCCGTAGTGATGATATTACTACACTGAGATAAATATGCGCCGAGTCAAAGTGCTCCTAATCACTTGTGGTATTCCACCATTCAATTTATCCACTTTACACGCGCGTTTTATTTCGTGTCACCGTCCTAGGTCGAGTTACACTGCTCGTGTAACTGTATTTAAATAGGGAAAACGTGGAGGTGTTTGGTCGCTTCTCTGCGTGGCCCATATTGAATGAACTGGGCTAGTTTAGTGCTATCAAAGTGTCTCGTGCGCCAGAGACACTACCGCATAGGCTGCCTAAGGGAATGAAACTTGAAGGCCCAGAAAGTCAATGAAGAAAATGTTTAAATATTCCATGTGACAACAGTGGCTCAACTATAAGTTTATCAAGCGATGAAAATACTTTTTGTGCGAAAAACAAACAAACAAAAATAACGACTTTATTTGACTATTTCTTTTCTTCCTTGTAGGCCTGAAACGAGACTTCAAGAGATTTCCAAGACATAGGCCTATGGAATAGTCAAAAGGACATCGGATAGTCGAATAAAGTCGTTATTTTTGTTTGTTTTTCCGCACAAAAAGTGTT